GGACCCCGCCACCCGTGTGGCTTTGCTCCTGTCTCCCTGGTCTGCTGGGGGGGTCCAGCAAAGCCGCTGGACACCCCCAGCAGACCAGGGGGACAGGAGCAAAGCCGCCCAGGTGGCGGGAGTCCTGCTGCCTGGGCGGCTTTGCTCCCGGACAAAGGAGCAAAGCCGCCCAGGCGGCGGCTTTGCTCGGGTGTCCCTGGTCTGCTGGGGGGGGTCCAGCGGCTTTGCCGGACCCCCCCCCCAGCAGACCAGGGGGACCGGGAGAAGCTTTTCTCACCCCAGAGGACATGGGTGGCGACTCGCCGCCCGTGAGCTCCGGGGCGAGAAAAGCCCCGTTCGTAAGTGCGGATCCGACATAAGTCGGATCCGCGTAAATCGGGGACTGCCTGTACCTAAAAGGGCATTAGAAGGAGGAGGCTGCAAAATTGTTCTCCATAACCTCTGATGATAGGGCAAGAAGCAATGGTGTTGTAAGCTGCCTCGAATATTTTAAATAGAGAGGTGGTGTAAAAATATTTTAATTAAATAAATAAATACATAAATAAATGGGCTTAAATTGCAGCAAAGGAGGTTTAGGTTGGACATTAGGAATAACTTCCTACCTGTCAGGGTGGCTAAACACTGGGATAAGTTGCCTGTGGAGGTTGTGGAATCTCCATCATTGGGGATATTTAAGAGCAGGTTAGACAGACACGTGTCAGGAATGATCTGGATGGTGCTTGGTCCTACTGAGAATGCAGGGGCCTGGATTTGATGACCTCTCAAGGTCCCTTCTAGTTCTAATATTCTCTGATTCTATGAATGTGCTCTGTTCCCTCATGGCCACAGGAGGGAGAACACACAGCGCATTCTCTCCAGGTATGTCCCTAGGTAGGGACAGAGCACAATCTCAGATCTAGTATTTCTGAACATCAGGACTTGCTCCTTGGGGAGGGCCATAGAAGGGGCTGATTCATGGCCCATCTTGCATAAGACCACTGAGGCACCTGAGATTGCAGAGGGAACATACTACACCCATCTGAAGAGTAATGCAGCATGTATAGTTCTCTCTTTGCCTAGGGATCTTGAAATACAATTCCTCTCAGTGGTCCTCCAGGGCCATACAGCTCTGCAACACTCTTCATTTGGGTGTTGGACTCGAAGACCTCCTGGGGTCTCTTCCAACTCTATGATTCTATGCACAGCCAACAATCTGGCCCTGAGTAACACGAAACAAAATTAACCTGGCAAGGTAGAAAAGGGTTAGTAAAGATTCTGAATATGGGATAAGACTAATATGTACGGAACTTCAGTTCATATTTTTTAGACTGTTGAGGAACAGGGCTGGGCTGGGAATTTGGGAGAGCAGGGTGGAAGAATTGTATATCTGCATGAATGTAAAGAGTGTTAATTGCAGACAGTGGTTCCATTTGTACTGTGTATATGGTCTATTAATATGTTTTGCACAAATGACTAGAGCTATTGAAGGGCACATGTTAAATGCATAAATAATAAAGAGCTACACATCAGTTTTTTTCTGTGTTCACTATATCTTTCTCTCTAACATATCTGCATTATATATCTCAGTGTTTGCTCTTTTGTTTTAAGCTTGGTCTTGAACGATTCCACAGCGTAGCCATACTTGGATTTAATTCTCCAGAATGGTTCATTTCAGCAGTTGGAGCTGTTTTTGCTGGGTAAGTTTTGGATTGGCGCTAGGCCTAGTAACGAATATTTTCCAGTGTAGCCTTTAGTTCTGTGGAGTGTGATCATCTCCTGCAGAAAGGGGAAGAAGAGAAATCATATTTCATCCTCCTTGTGCACCCAAAATAAACCACTGTTTTTTCATAGGAGAGCTGTTGTAGCTTTAACTCACTTCTTGGGGCATTGTAAGAGCACTTAAACCAGTTGTGGGCACCTTGCTGTTCATGGGCCACATGCAACCCATCAGGGCTCTATGTGTGGCCCATGAGACATCTTGTTTACTGTTGCCCACTCATTGGGTTGCCAGTTTCCGCTGGTTTCCGTCCATGTAATTTTTTTCCTATCAGTATTATTAAAGTGACATGCACACATTGACTGTGAGAGCCATACACTCCCTCTGCACCCCAATCAAAGTTCTGCTATGGTTCAAATGGCACATCCCACAAATTCTAGATGCACAAGTGCAGTGTGCAGACCTACTCTATCCCAGGAGACAATCGTGTGGTCCACTGAGATGCAGGGCAGATCATGCAAGCCCACTCACTAGGTTAGGCCTCGTATCACTGCCTTAAACTATGACCTGTAGTATGGTTTCATTTACAAAGTTGCCATCTCATAAGTTGTGCTACAGCCTATTGGGATGTTTAGTTACATGGTGAGGATCTGTTACTTTCCCAGAATCTAATGTACCGGTAAAACAGTCCAAAACCTCATAAAATGAGTCAGCTTGCTAAACGCCCAGTTGTGATGGATCCACAAGATACTGTTCTGTTTCCTATCTCTGTTGCTTGAGCAATATGGACCAAAGCCCATCCAGGCCCACTGATGAGGCATGAGGGGGACACAAAGAAGGCAGCTGCCTGGGGGCCTGGCAATTTCAAAGGCTCGAGGCTCCTGCCACCACTACTACTGCAGCAGCAGTAGTAGCCAGAGCCACAGGCCCTTTAAATCAGTGCTGGAGCCCAGGTTTCCCTGAAGATCTGGCAGGGGAAGAGTAGACTCAGACCCATCCCTCCTCCAGGCGCCCAGCAATTCTGTCGGCTGTCCTGAGCCCATAAATTTCCTGTCAGTACAGCTGAGTCGGCCCATGTTCTGATCCCCGGTCTGATCACAGAGCAGATTACATCCAGACCAATGAAGTGACAAATGAAGCAGTAACCAGACAAATTCTGTCTGTCGCAGTGTCTGTCTGTCTAATTCCAGTAATAGGTTTCTTGGTTTGGTCTCTCTGAAGTTGCACCTATACCAGCAAAATTCAAATCGATGATTCATTATCAGTGCAGCTCCCTTAGTGAAAGAAATAGTGTAGCCTGTCCTGTAAAGAGGACTTGAGCATTTGTACCACTGCGTGTCTTTGGCATTTTTACCTGCTCTAGGCAACATGTTGAGTAAAAGTTCTGAGTCTTACACTAAGCCTCCACTGCATCAATTATGATTTTCCCTAGTGTAGACAAGGCTGTGAGTACTTCCGACATTCACACTCTCACGATAGTGCTCTTTTTCAGATTAACTGCAGAACTCTTCTCTTTCAACTGTTACTGTTAGTTGTACAGAATACTTGGGGCAAGCCCGACAGGCAAGCATTCATCTGTGTGAATGCACAGCCCCGTGCGGTCCAGTGAATTTCGTCCACTGTTAAATTCTCCTTCCCTTTTGAACATCTGTAGTATCAAGGGAAAAGTGTATCATGCTCTATGTTTTCCTGCTTATCCCTGAAGTTCACTTTTTTTTAAACAGAGGAATTGTCACAGGTATCTATGCAACCAATTCTCCTGAGGCCTGCCATTACATTGCTTATGACTGCAAAGCCAATATCATTGTGGTGGAAAATCAAAAACAATTGGACAAGATAATGCAGGTATGGTGGGGGTGGTTGCTGTTGTAACTTCTGAGGTGTAATTCCTTTGCTCTTGATGCTGTAAAAGGCCAAATATCAAAACTTTTAGCTGTATAACAGTCATTTGAAACGTCTCACAAAACTAGAGACAGAACTAATATTTCTTGTCCTGAAATCACAGGTCTCTGCCAATTGAAATACTTGAGCTAAAGGATAATCTCCATAGTTGTTAAAAAACACAGTGCCTATGACACACAGATGGGTGGTAATATTCTGTCCAGTAGACAGCATGCTAGTCAGTTTATTACAATGTTGTCTGACCATTAATTTTCTGGTGATGAGCATCATAGCTATCACAGTCTGTTTCAGTCCCAGTGATTAGGATGGCAAAAATCATTGCAACTCCATTTTCACTATAGGATTAACTAGTGTAGTGATGCTCAGTTCTGGCTAGCAGAGTGACCTTTTATGGGCTGGCATATTTCATGTGATTTGGGTCTGGATTTCAAGAATCACACTGGTGACTTCTTGTAGAGCAAAATGAGTATTGTCTTATGAGGCGGGAGAAGCCCCGCACAGCCGCCGGCAATGGACTGGCTGGGGAAACCCAGCTGCCGGCCTGCAAGCAGGGGCAGAGGAGAGGGGAAAAGGCGTCCAGCAAGGGGGAGTCCATGGGGAACAGTGTGGTGAGCGGCGAACCCTCCACTGCTTTGCAGGGAGGCAGGGGAAGCCCCGCACAGCCGCCGGCGATGGGCTGGCTGGGGAAATCGTGTTATTCTGGGGACGGTCGTGTAATTCAAAAAACGTTCCCTAAAAAAAAATCATGCTATCACGAAAATGTGTTAAGCAGGCACGTGTTAAATGAGGAATTACTGTAGTTTGTTTTTTCTGTGCTTTTTACTTATTTTTTTCAAGCTCTCTTGGGGCAAAAGAGCTTGGGGTACCCCAGGGAAGGAATTCAAGTGTTCCGTGCTGTTTTTTCAAGGTTAAATCATTTTGTGGTGGCAGCTACCCCCCAAAGTCAGTAAATCTGTGACTCTGGGGAGTTTTTGTAAGCAGAACCTATAGAAGCAAGGCATAGAAGGTCTCTTTGTAGGCTCCCATCTTCTCTACTTGGAGTGCCGGAGTGGGGAACAACCTTGACAACAATCATTTAACTAAAGCATGTACATTTTCCTTTTATTTTGCACACAAAACCCCAAAACCTGTTACTTCACTTAAAGACCCTAGCAACACTGAGTAAATCTGCTAGTGAATTATCTGCTGTTGTTTTTGAAAACACCAACAGATCTGGAATCGTCTACCATACTTGAAAGCAGTTGTGTTGTACAATGACTGTTTGCCGGAGAGACACCCCAATTTATATACGGTATGTGAATTTTAGAGCTATGTAATAATTCATTCATTTGATGAATTTAACCTCCTTTTCTGTCTGTGAGAGGTTCTCAATGTTTTCAAATGTGTTTACTCTTCAATCTACTTCAGTATATTTTTCCATGTATTTCATTCACTCTGCAACTTGTTTTAATAGTTGATATTCAAAATTAAAGCTACATTGGTTAGATGTCTTGGTCATGTGTTATAGTTTCAATTACTTGATAAGATTAACATAATATTTACCACACTGCTTATGAGACTATAAATGCAGAACCTTTGTTGGTGTTGGTGTTTTACGAAGACATTTTCTTCGTAGCTTTAGTGTATATTGAATTGTGGTCAGTTATGCTGGGAAGTAGAGAATGCTTGTGCTGTCACAATCCATTGTCAATATTTTGCTGTCATATGGAACCTCCTATTCTGCTAATCTTTGTGTTTTGTAGCAAATATTTCTATCCACTCGCAATTGTTGAATACAATCAACTTTTATGTATGCAAAGACTAAAACACTGGTTCTGGTGTATTCGGGGTCTTCCTTTGCCCATGCAGTACTTAGACAGCAAGATTAGGGACAAGATAAAGGATCAGACTTCCTCTCAGATATAGGTGCAAAATGTAGGTTTTAAAAACAGGGTTTTACGCAATCCGGAATGCATAGAAGAAATGACTCTGAATTAACAGTGGAAATCCCCTGCTTAAGTTTCAGTGTCCATGCTAATGAATTGAAAAAAAAAAAAAGACTACATTTAGTAGAGAGTGAATAGCAGATAAATCCTTTAAGGCTTCAGATATCAAAACTGAAAATATTTTATTAGTAACAGAAACTAGAAGAAAAAATTTAACATATTTATGCTGCAATTGTTCCTTCTCGCTGTAAAGATTTACATATTACAAAACACCCAGAGAAAGGCACATAAATATCAAAAATCTGCTATACAAAATGCAGTTCAATCATAAGAAAAATTAATTTGCAGTATAAAGAAGAGCATATTTAATCAATACATTTCTTATTAAATAACAATAAACAGTAAAGTTTAACTCACACTAAATTCCAAGTGTCTGAGAACTTTTGATGGGAAGTTTATATTTGCTAATAATGGAGGACAAAATGTAACTGAAAATGCTACTGATCTGGTGACAGATTTGCCACCTGTTTTCCATGAGAGAGGATAATTGCTACATTAGTTGTGTTTATAAGAACTGGTACGTGCCAGATTTATGTTCCATACAGAGATACTCAGAGGTCAAATCACCAATGGTAGAGAGAGTTTATTAGCTTTAATACAAATCCAGTCACACAAAACACAGGCTATCGATAGGAAAAGTTTTTGCATAACAGTTTGATAGCTGAGAGAATTGTACAGTGATGAGCAGTTGCTGTCACTACAGCAGACCTCTGGACAGTGCATGTTTCCATAAATCAGTAGATGTGTGTGATTGGTTTTACCCTTTGGTCTCTGTGGAATGGAAACACGATCCTAGTGCAGGTGCTGTTCAAATAAACAATGCAAAGGCAACAGGGGCACAGAGATTAATGCCATATGGTAAGACAGAGAATAAAGGTCAGGAATACAAAGCATGAATTGTCAAGTCATATAGGAACGAATCCTGACCCCGTGCCATTGCAGTTGCCAGTGGCACTGATACAGCCTGCCGTGGTGACATCTACACTGCATATTTATTTCAGAATAAGCTACTCCAGAATACAGGACTAAGTCCTGTCTTTTGTTTCAGCAAGACCAGACTAACACGGCTACATCTCTATTACTATTCCCCCGTTCGTAACTGCGGATCCGACGTAAGTCGGATCCGCGTAACTCGGGGACTGCCTGTACTAAAATAGGTCTGGATAGGCCATCCAATGTAACCAGGAAGAAGGAACAGCTATTTGGAAATGAAGAACAGAGGTTGTAGTATTGCTAGCCTTATGTCTGAAGAGTATACATCTTTTCATTTATTGAGGTAGAAAAGCACAAGGCAAAAATAAATTACAGGCAGTCCCCAGGTTACGTATAAGATAGGGACTGTAGGTTTGTTCTTAAGTTGAATTTGTATGTAAGTCGGAACTGGTACATATTGTAGGGGAAACTCTAGCCAAACATTTCTCCAGAGCTCAGTTTTATTCTCCCACACCTCACTTCCCTCAGTCCTTTATTCTCAAGCTGAGATGTCTGCTGAGAAAAGCCGCTCCGCATCTCCCTGGTCTCCTGGGGAAGGGGCGCTAGCTTCACGTCTCCCTGGTCTGCTGGGGGGAAGCAGCTAGTGCGGGGTTGCCTCACCCCGTTTGTAAGTAGGGATCCGATGTAAGTCGGATCCATGTAACCCGGGGACTGCCTGTAACAAAATTGCTGTGTAGACACTCACATAGTTATTTCAGAATAATGGCTATTATTCCGAAAAACTTTTTTGTGTAGACAGACCCTGTGTGGGGAGCAGCAGGATGTGAAGAAACCATTAAGGGGATCTCCACTCTGCCTATGCCATGAAACTGTGCTCTGTGGTGGGCTCCTCCATGTTTTTACAGTGGAAGGGGTTGGAGTGCATGACTAAAATGGAATCTCCACACAGATTCTCCCATGGAGGGGTAGCTCTGCTGAGAGGAAGGATCCATCCTCCTGAGCTAGGTAAACTCTCCTTTGCCACTGCCACCCTGCAGCCCAGTCGTGGTTATGAACTTGTTGTACAGTCCAAGATTTGCCTTTAAGGGTATGTCTAAACTACATCCCTCTTTTGAAAGAGGGATGTAAATAAGACAGATTGAAATTACAAATGAAGCCAGGATTTGAATTTCCCATGCTTCATTTGCATAATAGTGGCTGTGCGGTCTTTTGAAAAAGGGCTTTTCAGAAGTAAAACCACCATCTAGGGGGGGTTCTTTCGAACCCTCCTCCCCCGTGGGATCTTTTGAAAAAGGGGTTTAAATCCTTTTTTTTGGTCTAATTTACATCCCTCTTTTGAAAGAGGGGAATAGTTTAGACATACCCTAAGACAGTAGTGAGGAGACGTCTTGCCAGATATAGAACTGGTTTGCTGCCTCTGTCACTGCTCGTGGACAGTTGTGTAAACATGCTATGAATAATCCAGTCTCAGTGGGATATTAACCCTTAGGCTGCTGGTTCTCTTTCCCACATGCTGTGACTATCCCATCCCGACCCCCGGCCCCATTAACATTGAATCAATGGGATCTTAAAGTGAGCATGTAATGTTTAGACCCATATGAATGTATTCCAACTATTTGATAGTAATCAATAGAACATCTCAGCACAGATTCTTCATTCTTCTAAGGCAATTTTGCATTGCACAAAGAAATCATATGCCAACAGCCTAAGTTCAGAGACTGGATGGGACACTATCAGAGAGCTTCAGCCAGCTTCCTACATCTGCTCATCTTCCCTTGAATGGGAGAACTGAGGCCATTGTTCACATATTTAAATAATAAGAATACTTTGCTTCTACTCAGATCCTTTCATTCTAGGATCTCAAAGTGCTTTACATATAGAATAGATAAGAGATAACCTCTTGGAAATTTAACACAATTGGACAGTTTACTTGGTGTTTTAATTATAAGCTATGTTACAATTTACTTTAAATATGAATCAAGCCCATTTTTAAAAGATTAATAAAACTTAACTGCCTTTGCCCACTCCATTTCTAATGGTGTGGTGAGGGTTCTGATTCACAAACTTTTTAGGTATAACTAGTGGAGAAGAGACTGCATGACATAAACTTCAAAACTGTGGTCCTATTTTGGTCTTGGAGCCTTCATACAGGCAAATTTCCAATTTACTGGATAGGGAGTGTTGTCTAAGAATGGTCAGCAGAATCAGGCTCATTATAATTTTACTATTTGTTTACATACCATTAAAGTATTGCAATTTCCACACTTGCTATAAGCTGACTTCTTGCATCATTCCCTTCCCCCTTGCATTTTGTAGATGGAAGAATTTATGGAGTTGGGAAATGATATACCAGATACTACACTCAATGATATTATTAACTCTCAAAAGCCAAATCAATGTTGTGTGCTCGTATACACTTCTGGAACATCTGGGAAGCCAAAAGGAGCCATGCTGAGTCATGACAATGTATGTATTCTAGACACCACTTTAGAGCATAAGGGTCTTTATTTCTGTGCTTTTGAAATAAATGGGATCATTTCTGAAACTTTACAAGCCTGTCTCATAGTTGAGTTTCTAAATGACATTCTTTGGTTCATGCAGTTGATTGTGTGATTAAAACACTATTACCACAAATATCTTCAAAAGAATCATGCACTTTAGCCAGTGAGTGTCACAGCCACCTGATAGTAAAGCTTTTGCAAGGTTTTATTTAAATTGGTGCTTTTCCTATAAAATTGTTACATTTCCAAGTTACATTACTTTTTGTTCTTCCTAATTTAGTAAAGAATAGCAAAAGTTGTCTATATTCTGCAGCCTTGTTATTCACAAATTCCATGTCTATGTTGCTGCAAACAGCAAACTCTCCAGCGCTAAAGAGAAGTGAAAAATCAAGTGGAAAAGAGACTTTACACAACAGTCTGCTCACCAATGGCTAAACTGGTTGATTCTTACATGACTATACAGTGAGGGAAAGGATTCAGGAACTTGTATGAATACTTGTGTAGCCCATAAAAGGACTGTCTGGAAATGCAACCTCTGCTCATGGTGGAGGCACAGGGACTAATACTAAGAGCAATTCACCATAAATAGAAAGTAGGCTGAGAAATGAGGCACAGGGACTAATACTAAGAGCAATTCGCTATAAAGTAGAAAGTAGGCTGAGAAATATCTGGAAGCAGGATACACTGGACATGATAGACCAAAGGGTTGATCTGGCATGACAAATCCTCTGTTGTCCTGTCTCAGTGGAGTATGGTATAGTTTCTATTTTGCTGTCAAATTATTTCTGACTACTGTGCATAAGCAGGCTATTTTTACGCCAGTCAACACAGTGGAAAACATCCTATGCCTCTAACCGTGCTGCTGCCTTCTTTAGTCAAAAGAAGTTTGCCTCAGTCCTTATTCTAACCCTGTGTAGTGTCAGGCATTCACCCCCTTCATAACCACACTGATTTGACATGTGAATGTAACTGTGCACTGAAGAATTTTTGGAGGCTAAACAGATAATGTAGCTACATATTTAGAAAACATCTTTTCATACCCCCTTGTACTCTTTTTCACTAATGATAAATAACATTGGTGATACTAAATAACTGTTGTCTAGACAAATTATCCTTTCTGTTCTATAGTATTTATTGCTGTTTTGTTTCCAATTACACCTATAAATGCAGTGTTGGTAAAACATTTCAAACTGACCTTTCTGACACTAGAATCCTCTTTACCCATGTCAGGGCAGCAGTACAATTAAGGACAGTACACATCTCCTCTTGTGGGTCTCCCAGAGTGCCTCAAGCATGACCACGAAGGACCATTTCTAGGGATGAAATGGAGAAATGCACTAAAATAAATAGGTGAAAATCAATGAGGAAAAATGCAGAGTAGTACACTTAGGAATGAATAATCAAGTGTGCCAATACAAAATGGGAGATGACTGCCTAGGAAGGAGTACCACTGAATAGGACATGGGAGTTATAATGGATCACAAACTAAATTGGAATCAACAATATAATACTATTGCAAAAAAGCAAACATCGCTCTGGCAAATATTCACATGAATGTTGAAAGCAAGACACGAACAATAATTCCTTTACTCTACTCAGCGCTCATAAGGCTTCAGCTGGAGTATTATGTCCAGTTCTGGTCATCAAACTTTGGGAAAAATTAAGACAAACTGGAGAAGTCCAGAGAAGTCCATGCAATAAAAATGATTACAGATCTAGAAAACCTGTCTTGAAAGGAATTTTTTTAAAGTTTTGTTTAATCTAGAGAAGAGAAGACTGAGGGGAAATATAACAGGTCTTGAAGTACATAAAAGACTATTATAAAAAGGGTAATAAATTGTTCTTCTTAACCCTGGAGGATAGGAAAGGAAGTAATGGGCTTAAATTGCAGCAAAGGAGATTTAGGTTAGATATTAGACAAAACTTTGTCAGGATAGTTAATCACAGGAACAAATTACTTAGGGAAGATCTGTAGTTCTTAACTGGTGGTCCATGGACCACTTGTAGTCCATGGTGACTTTTCCGGTGGTCCACAGGAACATTGTCCAAAGTCACATGGCATGAGCAAGCGCCACTATTAGGAACAGGAACATTGTCCAAAGTCACACGGCGTGAGCAAGCGCCACTATTAGGCTGTTTTATGCCGTGTTCATAAGCACACGGCGCATCATCCATAGCGTCACCTAGGACGGAACCTCATTGTGTTGCGAGTAACTTCCATCGGAGGCTTTGAGAATCAGTGCAGCTTCTGCCATCGTGCTGAGCAGTTGCTGTGTTGTTCGTCCTGTGCTACATGTGCTGTTTTACAGGTGTGGTGTAGTTTGTTTATAATGGCAACGACAGGAAGAAATGTCAAGTGCAAATATTCAGAGGACTATGTCAAATTCGGCTTCACTTGTCAAGAAAAAGAAGACATGGATTTGCCACAATGTGGTATTTGTTTCGAAGTCTTGGGGAATGACTCAATGAATCCAGCTAAGCTGAAACTCCATCTCGAAAAGTGTCACCCCAACTTGTTCCAAAAGGATGAAGATTATTTTGTGCGGCGGTTACCAGGTCTGAAACGGCAGCACCTCGACTCAACAAGCGCATTCTACAATAAGACAAGCAATGCCATGCGCACTTCCTACATTGTTCCATACAAAGTTGCACAGGCCAAGAAGCCTCATACCATTGTAGAACAACTTGTGCTCCCCTGTGCAAAAGAGATGGTGCGGCTTGTTCTTGGTGAGGAAGCAGCAAGGAAGCTGAATGATGTATCTCTCTAATGACACAGTATCAAGACGGATAAATGGATATCACAGAACATCAGTGAACAAGTTGTGGATGAAATAAAGAAGTCTCCATTGTTTGCCATACAATTGGATGAATCGACCGACATCACATTGTGCTCTCAGCTATTGGTTTTCACACGATACATGGTTGAGGGAGACTTCAAAGACGAATTTCTTTTTTGTATGTGATGGAAATTGTTAACAATTTCTTTGAAGTACATGGTCTGGATTGGGTAAATCTTGTGGGTGTCACCACTAATGGGGCACCTGCCATGCTGGGCTCGAGATCGGGCTTCCAAACGCTGGTGAAACAATGCGCTCCAATGGTAACCGGAATTTTTGCTTCATTCATAGGGAAGCTTTGGCGTCAAAAATGTTGCCTGATCAACTGAATACCATTTTCAAAGGGTTGGTGAAAATGGCGAATTACATCAAATTATCGGCTCTGAACACCAGGCTGCTCAAAAGATTTTTGCCTGGACATGGATTCTGACTTTGATGTATTGCTGTTCTACACTTCTGTACGGTGGTTGTCAGCAGGGAATGTACTCAACAGATATCAGTGCTTGAGCCCTCTGGTGAGGGTCACATCAGCAATACCAGCTGTGTATATAGGGCAGGAGTTTTAGTGTTCAATGTGCAGCAGGGGAAAAAACAGACTGCCACCATTTCATTATATTCCTTGCAGGTTTTTTCCTCTAAATAGGCCTTATATATGAGTGACAAGCTACAGGTTGATGATATCATGAGCTTTCGTGGGCACAGCCCACTTCTTCACATGACTGGAGTGTTAGATGTCCAGAACCAAAATTAAATGGGGGGAGGGAGGGAATGGAAGGGGAGGAAACAAAAAGAGGCAGTGAGTATATAAATATCAAAGGGAAAACTGAGCTGGTATGTAACAGGCAAAACTGATACTCTATGGCTGTGTCTAGGGGGGGGATTTAAATCCCCGCTGCATTTGCAATTGCGATGTGTCTAATTTGTATCCCTTTTACGGAAAAGGGATGCAGTCTAGACACAGCCTATAAGGACCTAGAGACTGGATCGTTAAAAGAAGCAGATAAGGACCATTAGTTAGCATTTAGAGAGGAAGAGTACTAACACCAGAATCTACATTATCTGCTTCTCTGCCCTCCCAACCCCCGCCTTATTTAATTTTGACTGTGGACATCCACCACTGGTCATGTGAAGAAGTGGGTTGTGCCCACAAAAGCTTATAATACCATTTACATGTTTTGCTAGTCTTTAAAGTGCTACCAGACTATTTGTTGGTTTTTAAGTTTATCCTGTACAGACTAACTTGGCTACCCCTCTGAAGCTTTTAATCTACAGGCTGTTAAAGGAAGTGCTATCTCTGATAATACATGTGTACTACACAAACAGTTTCATCATTAACTAATATAGCAGGCCTGCCTGCTTAAATGGTATTAAAAGAAAGCAAAAAAAAAGATATTAACATTTTGTTTATGTGAACAGATAACCTGGACAGCAGCACATGCCAGCAGAGCAGGGGATATGCAACCAGCAGAAATCCAACAGGAGATTATAGTCAGTTACCTCCCACTCAGCCACATCGCTGCTCAGATCTATGACCTTTGGACTGGAATCAAGTGGGGAGAGCAAGTTTACTTTGCTGAGCCAGATGCTTTAAAGGTCTCTGTAGTACTTTACGTTTACGCTTTATTTTTTCATCAGCAGAAGCACTGAGTAGAGCATTTAGTTTTGAGGAGATGCATGAGAACATTGCCCATTCTGCAAAACTGTTCTGGGAAAGTGAATCCAATGGGATATGTGGGCCTAATACTCCAATGCTCCACATTTTCCCCTCACCCTGAACCATACCTAGAACTCTGGTCCATCACAGAGCTCTACCATTTGAATTAAAGGAGAACTTTGGTAACTGCTAGCAAATAATTTGTTCATTAGATTATAAAATGGAAAAAATAATATAGTCAGAACTTCGGCCGCTCTTAAGGAAACAGCTTGAGGATTCCTCTGGCACCATATGCATGGGAACTAGGGATACACCCCTGCCGCACCACCACATTCTATGTAAGGTCCCAGCTACCAACTCCCTGCCTAGAATCCCAGCCACCAGCCCTACATTTGGGGGCTCCCCTACCAGATTGGGTCCCGGACTCCAGTCGGGAGCCCAGAAGCTCTGCTGTCAGTCCCAGCTTCCAGTCCTGTGCCCATGGGTGCCACTGCCAGCCCCACACTAGGGATCTGCTGCTGGCCCAGGCCCAGGGCTCTGCACCTGCCATCACCTGTGGTACCAGCCTCAACCCCTTCCCCATGTCCACATTTCCCCCATCCTCCCAGACCCCCGGCCCTGCTCTTGGTCCCAGTTCTTGGGGGCAGTGAGAGGTGCGGAGAATAGTAAAGGGGGTGCAACTCATCATCCCCACTCTAAAAACTCTAGCACCACTGCACGGTGGAGAAGGGAGTGTAAGCAATGGATCGGTAGGCAGGGTCAGGTGGGACAGAAAGGAGGACTAAAGGCAATTGTGTCCCTTCCCCAGCGCGCACACAGTTTTGTCAAGCACTGTTGTAGCTCACCTAGGGATCCAACTGAAATACCGGGCTTGATCCCACTTACTTCAGTAATTAAAACTCTGCAAATCCATGGGTATCCACTTAATATCCATGAGTATCTGTATCCGTGGTTATGGATGCGAATCGCCTCCGCTTAATTTTGCAGATAAAGCTGTGAATGCAGATACACATTTTGATATGATATGTGTAAGTACTACAAGACTTAATCCATTAGAAAGAAAAAAAACCCCTCTATAGCACCAATCCTGATCCTTTATTTTAACAGGGCAGCTTGATCAACACACTGAAAGAAGCACAGCCAACATCTCATATGGGAGTTCCTCGAGTGTGGGAGAAAATCATGGAGAAATTAAAGGACGTGTCTGCTCAGTCAGGATTTATGAAGAAGAAAATGTTATCATGGGCCATGTCTGTTAGCTTAGAGAGGAACCTAAGCTGCTCAGGGAGGTATATTTAGTACCATATGACTGTAGCTATGCCAAAGAACCCCATCTGCTCTCGGTGATCCCCAAGTATCCCATTGACATCGGAGGGTTGCCTTTATGTTCTCAATAGCACAGATCTTTTGCCTGGTATTTGTCACTCAGCATTGTAGTTTTATATTTTGGTTGAAATCACTGGAGGGGAAGGATGTTCAAAAACAGATGAAACTGATCTCAGATTCAGTGTCTGCTGAGGTATCTAGTTTTGACTGGATTTTTCAATATAAACTTTTGAGTCTGGCACAAGCAATCTCTTGTCCTGCACCTGCATTTCTGCCTGAGGCTTAGCTATAGTTTTCCACTGGAGATTTTCTCAGCCTTTGTTGCATGTTTCAGGCTTTGACATCCACTCCAAGAGTACCATAAAAGTCATTGCCAGATGATATTGTGAAGGCCAGAACTGAACTGCGATTAAAAAAAATTAGATAAATTCATGGAGGATAAATCTGTCGATGGCTATTGTCAACCCCATGTTCTGTGTGTCCCGAGCCTTTATTTGCCAGAAGCTGTGAGTAGACAAAAGCCAATGAATGGCTTGATGATTGCCTGATCCCTTCATTGCTTCTGAAGCACCTGGCATTGGCCACTGTCAGACAGTGGTGTATATGGGCCAGTATAGCCTGGCACACCATACTGGCAAGTTATTTTTAGCTGCTATGGCATTCCAGAAAGACTCCCTAAAGGCTAGCCCCAGCCTCTCCACTGGCTGCCTTATCTCTGTGCACAGGCCTGTGGTCTGGGGGGGCTGGGAGCAGCGGCAGATGGCGAGCAGGGCGGCTGCCCCACGCCCCACACTTCAATAGGCCCTGCGCATGCACTAATTCCTGTCGGCTGTGGCCATGGCACATGCGCGAAATTGTGCTGCCCTGGGCCCCACGGCACTCTGATCCGCCCCTGGCTGGGAGTGCAGTGGCAACTGGAGGAGCTGCTGGCTTCCTTTCCCTGCTGGGCTGGGCAGCAGGGAATGTTGCAGCACAGCCAGCAGCTCCTCCAGCTGTAGGTAATGTGGATTGTACCACTTTGCACCACTGCTGTCAGAAGATAGGATACTGAGTTCAGCTGTTCTTAGGTTCTTATGTTCTCTACAGAGACCCGAAGATTAATCATGCCCTTCCCCCACCAAATAGAAACAGATTTATAGAGCCTGAGGGAAGATAGCATTTTATTGTGAATTTATGTATAGTAGGGGCAAGACATTATACGGTCCATGTACACCTCAAATTAAAACCCACTGCTGGCCTAAGCCAGCCAACCTGGGCTCCTGGGGCTTGACTGCAGGGCTGTTTCATTGGTGTGTAGACTTCTGAACTTGGGCCCCAGTTCTAGGGCACTATGAGGTGCGAAGGTTCCAGAGCTCAGGCTCCAGCCGTAGCCTGGAAGTTTACACCACAATGAAACAGCCCATCAACTGGCATGGGCTAGACACATACCCAGAGGCTACGTCTAGACTGGCATGATTTTCCGCAAATGCTTTTAACAGAAAAGTTTTTCCATTAAAAGCATTTGCGGAAAAGAGCGTCTAGATTGGCACGGACGCTTTTCTGCAAAAGCACTTTTTGTGGAAAAGTGTCCGTGCCAATCTAGACGTGGTTTTGCACAAGAAAGCCCCGATCGTCATTTTCGCCATCAGGGCTTTTTTGCGCAAAACAATACCGCATTGTCTACACTGGCCCTCTTGCGCAAAAGCATTTGTGCAAGAGGGCTTTTGCCCGAACGGGAGCAGCATAGCATTTCCGCAAGAACACTGACAATCTTACCTGAGATTGTCAATGTTCTTGCGGAAATTCAAGCGGCCAGTGTAAACAGCTGGCAAGTTTTTCCGCAAAGCAGCTGCTTTTGCGGAAAAACTTGCCAGTCTAGACGCAGCCATAGTGTTTCCCCAAACCACTGCATGTCTGTACTGATTTGGTTTCCCAGACAAGTTTATTGACTTGCCCAGACAATGAGGCTCTTGTTATCTTAAGGATCCTAGATTTTGTTGGCACTGGCACACATTTAAGCAATAAAGAATCAAAGAATAGTGAAAACAGTGATCTCCACAATGCATTTCATCAGCTCTTCATGAATCTGCAAAATTGGTATGTCCCTAGTGTTTGGAGTTAGTATTTAGGGAAGGACATTCTGTAAAATGATACAAATGGGAACTAATGTGCCTAGACATTTAAAACCAAATAATGAATATGTAACTGAAACACAAAGTTGGCTTGTTTTGAAAATTATTTACATTTCCTCTGAATTTCACTATCTTTTTCTGTGTGTTTTTCATTCAGCAGTGACTTGAAGCCCTTTCGAACAAGATTAGCAGACTATTTAGTACTTGCAAAAATCCGCAACGCTCTGGGATTTTCCCACTGTCAGAAGCATTTCTGTGGTGCTGCTCCTCTCACTACAGAAACTCTGGATTTTTTCTTGAGTCTGAATATCCCCTTGTATGAGGCGTATGGGATGAGTGAGACCACGGGACCGCACTGCATGTCTGGGCCATATGTTTACAGACGTCGCAGGTAATTTTACAGAAAGTTTTTAATGTAGAAACCAAGCAATTCTGCCAAGATGAGAATGCCCGTGATGCCTGCTGTTCCCACTGTTTTTCTTTCCCAATCCTTCTTTCATGTCCTTGTATAAGGCAATTTCTGGGTTATTAATTTGTGGTACAGAATTACACGTTATTCAATGGATTTGCCACATCTTTGTCTCTGTTTTTGGAATCAAAATCTGTATATTTCAGTGTAAATAGAGCCCCACACAGAGAATCTGATTTTCTTCCACCACATCTGTCTAAGTACCACCCTATCTAATATATAACGGAGAATGTTGGTAAGTTTGTGCGCTAACAACTTGGACACTATGGGTATGTCTAGACTACATGCCTCTGGCAACAGAGGCATGTAGATTAGGCTACCCGTCATAGGAAAATGAAACGGCGATTTAAATAATCGCCGCTTCATTTAAATTTAAATGGCTGCCGCGCTGAGCTGATCAGCTGTTTGTCGGCTCAGCGCTGTAGTCTGGATGCTCCGCGGTTGACATCAAAGGCATTTGTTGACCTCCCCGGTAAACTTTCCGCATACCAGGGAGGTTGACAAATGCCTTTGATGTCGACCGCGGAGCGTCCAGACTACAGCGCTGAGCCGACAAACAGCTGATCAGCTCAGCGCGGCAGCCATTTAAATTTAAATAATTTAAATTATTTAAATCGCCGCTTCCTTTTCTTATGCCGGGTAGCCTAATCTACATGCCTCTGTCGGCAGAGGCATGTAGTCTAGACATACCCTATAAGAGCTACCGCAACCAAATTTTGCATGGGATAACCTTTCATCCAGGAGAAGGTTTTTAAGGTACTTTTGGACCCAATCCGGGTCCTACCCTGCCCCCTGCAGCACCTGAGGCCCCGGGCGCGAGCTGGGGCACCCCTCCCGTGTGTAGCCTCCCGGGACTCGCCCCCTCCCACCTGTGAGGTTACACAACTGACCCTCACCCCCACCCCCATGTGCACAATGGCTCGGGCACCCGCCCTGCCCCCCGTGGCACCTGCAGCCCTTGGTGCGAGCTGAATCACCCGGGGTCGCTCCCCCCCTGCCTCCCCCACTCTCCGGAAACCAAAACCAAAGCCAGCCAGCCTTTCTGCTCAGCTCTCTGGGCTAGCCGAGTTCTGCTCAGCTTGCTGGGCTTATCTGAGCAGAAGGAATCCGTGTGCCTGCTGCAGCACAGGGGCCGGATTAAACCTTTGATGCGTTACGCTGCTGTGAAGCCAGCCAGCTGCTGTTCGTACTGTGAGTGGGGCTCTTCTGTGTCTGGTTCCAGCCATCGGGGTTAGATGTGAGCTCTGAGCTTTTGCTTGGCAAGGCAGGGCAGGTGGATCCCTGAGCCAACCTTGCAAAAAGAAGTCCCCTTGCTACTGGCCGCATGACTGTGTACTGTTCTCCAGAGGGCTGGGGGCAGGCAGGTTCTGCTGCTCTCAGAGGGTCAGGTGCAGACCAGGAGCTATCAGCCCCCAGGATCTGTGGCTCTGGGGGTCCCCTGGATCAGGGTCCCCTCTTTTCCTAAAGGTTCTAAATTTTGTTCCTCCGGTTTCCCGAGCAATGCCAGGTAAGTCCAGCTAGTATGTTAATACAGAAAAGAGTGTTGAGGTGGACCATGTAAGAAGCTACTGGGTCCTTGCTTCCAAGGTTGAATTGACCAGGAACCCCATATAGACAGAGAAAAGGGGGGGGTTCCCCTGGATCAGGGTGCATTTTTCCTTCCTCTTCCTGAACAGAACAGCTATGCAAAGCCTGATTGATTAATCATACTTCAGTGAAATTATGGAATGAATTCCTGCATGATTTATGCTGCTGAGTGATTTACTCAGCACCTTCCTATAAACTGACTTTACTAATCAGTTATCCTCACTGTAAATAAAAGTTTAGAACGAATGGGGGGATGAAGTTCCCTCTTTTCTCTTACCTATCGACTCCACAATCCCAGGTTACCTCACACATCTGCACAGGTGTCAAAAGCCCTAATTGCACTGGATCCAACTGCTAAAATTTCTAGTTTCCATCCTTGTCAATTTCTACCACATATTTATGCATTTTTACAACAAAAATCTGCAGAAAATTAGGAAAGGACAGGATGAATCTATGTATCTATATTTAATTCAGTAAAATGCATGAAAAGCGTGAAAAGCTGCTACAGCATCTCCAGCTTGATGTGCTTTAGAATTTAGATTTAACTTGCTATAGTGTCCATTGAACTTTGAACTTGAGAGACAGTAGTCTAGTGGATAGAGTTGTGATCTAGATTTTCATTGTTCTCTCCTTAACTACTCCATCTTTAAGGCTCTCTCTTGCAGCCCATGGCTGTCTTCATGCCAGAAACTGAGTATGTGGCTTTCCCCACACTTTAACCCAGAGCACAACTATTAAATCAAAGAGCTGGCTACTTAAGAGGGAATGATGCACACATCTAAGATTTCAAATGTATGTTTAATGCTCCACAATTTAAAAAGTCCACTTAAGTAGCAACACAGGGCAAAATCCTGAGCAGGTATAATATACCGAACTCAGCTTGCACTGTAGCTTTGCATCAGCTGAGTTTCTGGCCCATAACTTTCTAACACTGATGGGAATATGTTTCTTTATATCTTCCCGAGATCTTAGAGATGAGATATTGTAAAGGTTCACTCTATATTTTGTCTGGAAAACATTCCTTATACATATTTTTCTTCTTATTCCTTTATAGCTGTGGTAAAGCAGTACCTGGCTGCAAAGTGAAACTGGTAAATGAGGATGCAGATGGCAATGGAGAAATTTGTTTCTGGGGAAGAACCATTTTCATGGGTTATTTAAATATGGAGGATAAAACAAAAGAAGCCATTGATGATGATGGGTGGTTGCATTCTGGAGACCTAGGAAAGTTAGACAAAGATGGCTTCATCTATGTTACTGGGAGAATTAAAGGTAAAAGACAATCACTTTTTTCTGTCTTATAGTATTAGTAATTATTCAGTGTTGTTCAGTTATACAACAGATAAGCATGTGGAAATGCCTTCTTGAATCAGGCCTGTGGTCCTCCACGGTGATTGACTTAAGTATTGCAAGAGGAGCTTTTGTTAGCATTAATGGTAATTCTAGATATTTTGTTATTCCTGTAAATATCCAATCCTGATTTGAATCTTCCTAAGTCCTTTAATAGAATCATAGGGTTGCAAGAGACCTCAGGAGGTCATCAAGTCCAACCCCCTACCCAAAGCAGGACCAATCCCAACTAAATCAGCCCAGCCAGGACTTTGTCAAATCGGGATTTGAAAATCTCTAAGGATGGAGATTCCACCACCTCCCCAGGTAACCCATTCCAGTGCTTCACCACCCTCCTAGTGAAATAGTTTTTCCTAATATCCAACCTGGACCTCTCCCACCACAACTTGAGACCATTGCTCCTTGTTCTGCCATCTGATCAAAATATTCAGACAATGATATTAGACAATCACTATGTTTTGCACGCATTGGAGAGGGTCCAGCAGAGGACAACCAAAATGATTAGGGGGCTGGAGCACAAGGCCTACGAGGAGAAGCTGAGGGATTTGGGCTTATTTAGTCTGAAGAGGAGAAGACTGAGGGGGGATTTGATAGCAGCCTTTAACTACCTGAAGGGAAGTTCCAAAGAAAATGGAGAGAGGCTGTTCTCAGTAATGACAGATGGCAGAATGAAGCGCAATGGTCTCAAGGTGCAGTGGAGGAGGGATAGGCTGGATATTAGGAAAAACTATTTCACTAGGAGGGTGGAGAAGCACTGGAATGGGTTACCTAGGGAGGTGGTGAAATCTCTATCCCTAGAGGTTTTAAAGTCCCAGCTTGACAAATCCTTGCTGGGATGATTTAGTTGGGGTTGGTCAATTAATTATTGCAGAGAGTTTGAAAGACATGCTGATCCACAAAGTATACGATATCCCAGGCTATATCTAGACTATGGGGTTTTTCCAGGGAACTGGGGTTTTCTATGTGTCTAGGGAACGTGTCTGCTCTTCCAATTTTTTTTGTGGAAGAGCAGATGTGCTCTTTTGGAAGCCCTGTTTTCCTTCTTCCATGGCAGGGCTCTTCCTAAAGAGGAGGATTTTCCGAAATTTGGCCCAGTGTGGATGGGCCGAATTTCAGAAAAGCTTTGACTGACAAAATGTGCGTACCTTTTTCCGATAAAGCATTGTAGTCTAGACATAGCACCAGAAGGGGTGTATAAGTAGCAACAAGATGGTTTAAAAGTAAACACAGAACATCTTAGGCAATGACTTCCTTGTCTCCACTCTACTTTCTCTCTCTCACTACTCACTATAAACTTGGAAGAGAAACTTGAACTATTTCTTTTGGCAAATATAGCTGCCAAATAGTTTTACCATAAATCACAGCACGCAAGTCAGACCGTCTAATCTCTCTCTCTGTAAAAAATACCTTTTCCTGCAGGATGCCAGACTGATGTCATCACATCACTCTGTATCGCCCCTGCCTCCTCCCTCCTTCCCCCTCGCCAGTGCTCAGCAGCCATGCGGAGCCTCAAAATGGCCCTCCCAGCAGCTGGGGAAGCAGCCTCCGTTTCTCCGTCGGCCAGGAGGAGAGAGCTGGGCCCACCATGGCCGGGAGGGGGGTTAGGTTTAGATCGTGGCTGGGGGCAGGGAGAGAAAAGGCCCAGGTTGGCGTGGCTAAGGGAGCAGAGGAGAGAAAGGGCCCCAACGGGATGCGGCCGGGGTTTGGGAGGGAGAAAAGGTCTGGGCTGGTGTGGCTGTGAGGGAAGAGAAGGGACCTGGGCTGGTAGGGGCAGGGAGGGGGGGGGAAAGGGCCCGGGGGGACAGGGCTGGGGGG